AAAAAGTAAAACAAAAAGGAAACTCTCTTACCTACTCGACGCTAGTTATTATTGACATTTCTTACCTTAATTATCACATTCTAGTTTCCATTTGTTTCTTTTGGCTTAAAATATTATCACAAAGTGCGAAAGCACTCACTAGCCTTCATTTTTCTTAATCACAGTGCAAGCCTTTTCATTTTTCTCAGTAAAAATACTTTACACTGATCCTCCTAGAAAATGAAAAATGATGAAAAATACTCACGCTTATAATACCAAAAGTAGTCTGGCTGCTAACTTTTAGTCTTAAAATTGAAATTTACGTGAACAATATACCGCATCCTAATCTGCTCCACGTTATAAACAATATACTCATTGTACAATAGATCACCCTGCAACACAAATTGATAGAGAATAAATGTGAAGTAATGGCAATCATAAACAAACTTTCTTGCTGATGATAAAAATTTAACTTCTACTGCATACCTTTAAGCCTAACTTTTTTTTTGGCTTTCCTAGGGGAACTATGAGCCCGTCCTCAAGTTCCTGAGCTTTTGAAAAATCAGGTGCAGTTACTCCTAATCCTTTAGTGCTGCAGTATGAGGTTGCATAGAATATATAAACTCAACTAGTAAAGAATACAAGTCATGATATTTGGAGCTATATGAAACATTCACTGGTGAATTTAACAGCAATGAACTGAAATTTATTTAGATTCAAATGGGAAGCAGGCACCAAGCCAGCCAGGCTCCACGAAAAATTGTATATTGACTGACTTTACGTAGAGACAAAAAAAATCAATTGATCAATTTAGATTTAGCCATTGAATTAGACAAACCCATATGCCAATGCCAGTGAAGGAAGAAATATTGGAATAGCTTAGAGAATTCTCTGAAGCTCAAAATAGGATTTATAATGAATACAATCACTAATTAGAAACATGTTAACCCATAACGTAATGTAAACTCATCCCTCAATTATACAACAGATAATGAGGAATATTAAGATATTCTGACACTCCTCCTAAAGTTGGAGCATATATATCATATGAACCAAGCTTGTCACAAATAAATTGTATTCGTGGTCACCTCAGTGAGTTAGTAAGAATATTAGCAAGTAGATCACTTGAGTTAACAAATTCAATGAGGATTTCCTTAGAAAGGACTTTCTTTCTAATAAAATGGCAGTCAAACTCAATAAGTTTGGTCCTTTCGTGGAAGACTGAATTTGAAGCAATATGCAATGCAGCTTGATTATCACAGTAGAGTCTCACTTGATTAGTATCTCCAAACTTCAACTCTTTAAGTAATTGTTTTACCCATATAAGTTCACATGTAACATTTGTCATTGCACAATATTTAGCTTCTGCACTGGATCTTGCAACCACATTCTGTTTCTTACTTTTCCAAGAAACTAGATTACCACCAATAAATACACAAAATCCTAAGGTTAATCTTCTGTCATTGGATGATCCAGCCCAATTAGCATCAAAGTATCCCATAACTTGAGCATGACCTTTATTTTCATACAACAATCCTTTTTCCTAAAGCATTGTTAATATATCGTAAGATTCGAACCAAAGCATCCCAATGCTCAACACATGGAGCCTGCATAAATTGACTTACTACACTTACTGGGAAGGAGATGTCAGGTCTAGTTAAGGCAAGGTAATTTAGTTTACCAACTAACCTCCTGTATCTGTTAGGATCTGAATATGATTCTCCTTGATTTGGTAATAACTTGTGATTTGGATCCATTGGAGTGTCAATAGGCTTGCAATCTGTCAAACTAGTCTCTTCTAAAATATATAGAGCATATTTTTGCTATGAAATTACAATACCACTCTGTGATTGAGCTACCTCAAAACTGAGAAAGTATTTAAGTAGTCCCAAATCTTTGGTCTGAAAGTGTTGAAACAAGTTCTCCTTCAACCGCAAAATTCCCTCATTATCATCACCTGTAATAACTATACCATCAACATAAACCACCAGATAAATACATTGACCAGATGGAATGTGAAGATAGAAAACTGAATGATCAGCTTCACTTCGAGATAACCCAAATTTATGTACAACTGTACTGAACTTGCCAAACCAAGCTCGAGGGGATTGTTTCAACCCATAAAGAGACCATTTTAACTTACAAACTAATCCAGATTCCCCCTGAGTAACAAAACCAAGTGGTTGCTCCACATAAATCTCCTAGTCTAAATCATCATGAAGGAAAGCATTCTTGATGTTAAGATGATATAAAGGCATTGCCTAATAGCGGCGATGGCTAGGAAGAGACGAACAAGAAAGAGGGTGGAAGTGAAGTAGTGTGTGTCTTCGAAAAAGGTGACATTGCCAGAGATATACCGATGACGAGTGAGAGGAGAATGACAACGATACCCCTTTAGCAATCGAGAATAACCAAGAAATACACATTTGATAGCACGAGGGGACAACTTGTCACGCCCGGGAGATAGATCATGGACAAAACAAGTACAACCAAATACTCGAGGAGGAATAGTATACACGGGACTTTGAGGGTCTAACAACTGAAGAGGGACTTGACGATTGATAACAGAAGAAGGCATACGATTAATCAAATAGAAAGCAGTTAGGACAACATCCCCCCAAAATTGCAGGGGCATATGAGCATGCAACAACAATGTATGAGCAGTTTCAATAAGGTGACGATTTTTTCTTAGCTACTCCATTTTGTTGGGGGGGGTATGCGAACATGATGATTGATGCAAAATCCCATGAGATGACATAAATGATGAGAAGTCAGCAGAGAAATATTCTTTGGCATTATAACTACGTAAAACTTTGATCGTTTTGCCAAATTGATTGTGAATTTCACTGCAGAAGGATTGAAATATAGGAAAGACCTCTGAACGTTCTTTCATTAAAAATAATCAAGTACATCGAGAAAAATCATCAATGAAAGTCACAAAATATTTAAACCCAGTTGGTGTAGAAATATGACTGGAACCCCAAACATCAGAATGAATAATAGAAAAACCAGAAGTTGTTTGACTATTGACCTTACGAGGAAAGGAAGACTGGAGATGCTTGCCAAGTTGACATGACTCAAACCTTAAAGACTTTAGATTCTCAAGACCTAGGACCATTTTTCGAAGTTTTGATAAACTGGGATGATCAAGACGGTGATGGAGAAGACTAGGAGATTCCACAGCAGCACATGCCATATGAGAGGTTGATTGGAGGTAATAAAGTCCTTGTGATTCATGTCCTATGCCAATCGTCTTTCCCGTACCACGATCCTAGATAACAAAAGAATCAAAACAAAAGGTTACAGAACATTTAAGAGATCTTGGAAATTAAATTAAATGGACAACTTGGTATGAATATAGTAGAATTTAATGATATGGATGCAGTGGGTGAGAGAACACCAATGCCTCAGACAGATACTTTGGAACCATTAGCTAAAGTTACAAAACGAGGACAAGCAGGAGAAGAAAGGGAAGAGAAGAAAGACTGATTACCAGCTAGTTGGTCAAAGGCACCTGAATCAAGGATCCAGGGTGTGGAAATATTACCCGTATGAGAAATACAAACTGTAGGGCTACCCGAATGAGCAACAGTGGTAGTAGAGGATTAGGTCGGCTTTGCTGCTTTCAACTGAAGAAATTCCTGAAACTCCCTTTCTGTAAGAGAAAATGACTGCTTACCAGAAATGTCAAATCCCATTCCTTCTTCTAAACCAAATTCAGACTAAGTGAGATTGACAAATTTATCAAGGAAACCATGTAGAGAATAACATGTCTCCTGAGTGTGGCCTGATCGCTTACAGTATGTGCAATGAAGATTGTTGATGCGACCGCTACGACCACAACGACTTCCTCGAACTCCTCGTCCACCTTGACCCCCACGAAAGCCAAGGTTAGTGTCTAAAGCGGAAACTGAAATGTCAATTATGTTGGGGCGCGGGCCCATAGTAGTGGAAATGGGAACTCTCAAGAGGTGAATGGTAAGATAGTCCATGGTGGGTACTTCGTGACTAGTCAAAAGTTGATCTCGAATGTGACTGAAATCAGGATGAATAGCACGTAATACCAGGACTACATATAGATTTTGCAATTTTCCTAATAATCCTCGATGACTGTAAACTTGAAAAAACATTTTTAGTTCCTCTACTGCTACTTGTGCCTTAGCAACAAAACTTGTCATATCATGGCTATCTAGGTGAAGAAAAGCCAATTTATGGGCTGCATCATACAGTCTTTGAATATTATTAGCAAATAAGCTCTGAGCTTTATTCCAAAAAGTGACACATTTTTTAAAGGGGAATACTACTCTCATGTTACATGAGAGTAGTTCTCTCATGCTATAGAGAGAAGCCAAGTGGGGCCCACTATTAAAAAGTAAAAAAAAAATGGGGATGCGATTTTTGAAATGAGATAATTATCTCATAAAACGAGAGTAGTATTTCCCCTTTTAAAAGTTTGAAAATTAATTAAAATTGTGGATTCCACAGATTGCCATAGTAAGGCACATAACTGATAGTCAAACCTTTCCCATTGACTCTGTTCTTCAGGAGGAATATCAAAAACTGACTTTTCAAGATGGTCTGAGAGGCCCTGACCAAGAAACCACAGCTCAACAGAAGAAGACCAAGCTAAATAGTTCTTACTATTTAACTTTTCAGATGTAATTGTCGGTGAACCTGAAAAAACATAAGCAACTGGAACATGACAATCTGGATTGGTAACTCCGGATGAAACAATAACTTCAAGTGAGAAAGGAGTTTCAGGACCAGAAGAATCTCCATCATTTGAAGCCATATCTACTCCAACAAAGGTAAAAATAGAACCAAATTGCACAAAACAAGGCAAAAATGGATGAAAAACAAACAAGAAGTGGATTTGGATGACCCACTATTGAAACAAACCGGAATAGAGCAACACAGTACTGGACTAGAAAGAAGAGACCGAGAGAAGCATGAATATCTTCGCGGCGAATGGGGATGAACGATGGAAGGCGGTGCGTGGTCTTCACACGCTCAAACTATGACTACGCGTGGCGGCACGTGGAGGCGTTTCTGCCAGCGGCGAGCTCCAGATCAGGTTGTCGGCTGTTTTTGAGTTGCCTGGGAGTGGTTCCATCTTTATTTACCATGGTTTTGGGATGCGTGTAGCTAGAAAAGATTTTAAAAAAATGAAAAAGATGAAGAGTTTTGGTTCCTGAATGAACTTAGCTCTTGATACCATGAAGGAAGGAATACTGGAATAACTTAGAGAATTCTTTGAAGCTCAAAATAGTATTTTAAAACAATACAATCACTAATAATGAGAAACATGGAAATCCATAACATAATGTAAACACATCCCTCAATTATACAACAGATAATTAGGAATATTAAGATGTTCTGACAGCCAGTTAACTAACAAAGATACGACAACTACGAAATTTAAGAAACAAACCTCAATTTTCCTTCTGGCAACCTATCAGCGTCATATTTACTAGTTAGAAGCTCAGACATATCACCCAATGCAACCTAAAATTACAGAAAATAAATCATACTTCCTAAAGGTGTGAATCATTAATGACATATTAGTGTCCTCTATCTTCTGACAATATTCCTTTCTCAAGGTATGCCACTATGGGTTGCCTCCAGTTGTTTGTCGAGGTTATAACCATCGCACAACTCGGCATTGTTATGCTTTGTTGCCTGGATTTTTGGTACTTGCCAATTTAGACAAAATATCAGCCCGACTATTTCCCCCCCGAGGGATATGAGTGACTTGCACTTCATCAAAGTCGGCCATCATCTCCTGTACTTTGTTCAAGTATTTCATTAACAGAGGACCCTTGGCCTGATACTTTCCTTCTATCTGTGAAGTCATCAATTGTGAGTCACTGAAGATTTTTACCCTTCTAGCTCCGTGTTCTTTAGCCTGTATCAATCCGGCTATCAAAGCTTCGTACTCTGCTTGATTGTTTGAAGTTGGGAAGCCCAAGTTTAAGGAGTGTTCAATTGTCACTCCTTCTGGGCTTTCGAGTATGATTCCGGCTCCACTTTCTTTATTGTTGGAGGATCCATCTACATAGACCTTCCATGCATCCCCAGATTCTTCACATTTCGGGTTCAATGGTGTTAGCTCCATTATGAAGTCGGCCAGAGCTTGTGACTTGATGGCCTTCCGACTTCCGAGCTTCTTCACATTCCGACTTTCATATGGCAAAGCAAAAGCCACTTATAACATATGGACAAAATTAGGACCAAAGAGTTGAAAAATAAGAATGTTTTAGCGTTGGGAAACAGAGCCTATGACTTGATTATATATTTTAGTGGCCAGGCCGTTATGCTTCAAGGAACAAAGGAGCTAAAATGCTTTTTACCATATTTTTTTTAATCCCAAATAAAGAAAGATAAGAGGAAGAAGCTTTGGTGAAAAGATTGTGATGTTTATAGTTTATACCATCAGTTGATGAAATCAACATAGGTTTCATCAGCGACAAATAAGTTACTATCAACCCAATTCAAGCTTTGTTATTATGATTGTTGGAAAGATTTTGTTGGTATATTATCTGATAATTTCAAACTGAATACATATTGTTGTGCCAGAGAATACTTGAGATAGACAGAGAGTACAGGGAGAAGTTATCTTCACTCAGAGCTCAACAAGCAACCCGGAGAGAAGAGTTTCTCAGTAAGGAATTACAGACAAGATTGAATCAGTATCATGAAGGTAAAAGAAAACACTGCCCCAGCATGAAGGTGCCAGATGTCCATGGCTATGTAACATTCACTGCAGGAGAATCAATTAGTAGGTTTGGTGGTGGTACTGAGTATAAACATGATGGAGAACAAACCAAGTGTTTATCAAGTGGGAGAAGTCAAGGAAGTGAGGTAAGGGTTCCATTGCCCCCTGGTCGTGTTTACAACAACAGTGCTGTATATAACAACACTTAATCCTACCCCATCATCCTCTATCACTTGGAGTGAGAATCAGATATCCCTCTCATATGCTAACAAATCTTGCCCGAAGAAAGAACCGTCTTTTATGTATGACTGAAATTTGTGTTATGCATTGCATATTCTTAACGTGCAAGTAGAAAAGGGGATTGCATCCTCTTTTGTTGCTCCATTACTGTCTGCTTCATCTGACTAAACTATATTTTTAAATAGTTGCGCTACAGTTTGCTGGCATAAATCTTTAAAATAAATAAAATGATATGATATCTTTAAAATTATTATTAAAAATAAAAAAAAAATCAACTTTTTTTTGGTAGACCTTCATTAATGGTTTTGCACACTATTCACATATCATTAGTATGACTGTTAAAGGTAGCTACCACAGTCAAACTTATGAAATGATATAGCAAAAGAATTTTTTTTTTGTCATGATATGGTAACATAAGAATGCACAATATAAAAATCTTTCACCAATTGATTAAAATCAAATCCGCATTAAACTGGCTTTAAGTATGGTCCTCGGTTCCCCTTGGTTCTAGATAAAGCTATAACAAAAAATATTGTTTCCGTCTGTAAAGAAAAATTAGTATTAAAATATGAAAAAAAATATGTGATAAAAAATTTTTCTACACATCGTGTCACCTTTTTTCTTTTTATTTTTTAGGTGGTGGAGTCTACAAATTTATTTATATGACATGAGATAACTTATCTCCTTTAACATCAGATTAATAAAACCCTTAAAATATACGTCAAAACAGGAAACAGAAGGCCTATCGGTAATAATCATTTCACAGATTACTCACTGGAACAGTAAGGTTACAACCAGCTATACTATAAATCAGTGTTGTAAAACCCGGCCCGACCCGACCGGGTCAACCCGGAACCCGGTGACTCGGTCATCGGACCGGTTCGGGTCAAGCATTGGACCGGTCATGCATCGACCCGGTCAAATTCGGTCAAAACCCGGACAAAACCGGCTAAACCCAGTAACCCGGCGACCCAGTGACCCGGTCGGGTCATGCATTAAAAAAAACCAAAATTGTTTTTGTCAAAAAAAATATAGAACTCATTTTAATTTTTTTTTGTAATCTTATTTGCTAGTATACTCTTCTACAATGACCTCAAATTTCAGCTTCCAATACTGAAGCAATTTGTGGAATAATAAATTAAGAGATTGTGACATATGTCATTTTTAATGTAGTTGAATTTGAAAAATATGAGTTCAATGTCATTGAGAGGTATGTTTATGAGGATTTTGAATTGCAATTTCAATTGACATAGTAATAGCATGTATTTTTATTTATGTATGCTTTATGTTTTTTAGCTTATTTAATGAATCTTGATTAATTCATTTTAGATATGAAGAATATAATTGAATTTATATGTTCATAATTATACATTTTTTATATATCTATATATATCCGGGTCAACCGGTCCGACCAGTAATCCACCGGTCCGACCAGTGACCCGATGACCCAGTACCCCGACCGGATCGATGCCCGGGCCGGGTTTAATAACACTGCTATAAATTCATACCTAATTCTGCTTGGGTTACAAGTAGGATACATCCATCTATGTGAACATCACAACTCAGATCTTGAACACTGACCTAAAACCATTACAAGTATAGCACCTTAATGTTCATATCATACTAATACAAAATTGGGGAAACTAAACCTTGTATTCTATAATATGGAAGGCGAAAGAAGAGACAAGCTTTCATATATGCATATTAGCAATAGCACCACTTGTCCAACTTGATAAGTGAACAGCAATATCCAACAATCACTTTTCAGAGCTTATTTATTTCTTGCACTATTGAAGTGCAGCCTGCATCAGTGATAGAATGTAACCCTTTTCAGCTTTCATATATGGGATATCCCGATATGTCCCCGACAAATATCCGGATATTCTGTAAATTTCGGAACAGTAGCAGTACTGTACATACAGAATGTCATTTTGGGTTTATGGACCCATGATTGGCTTATGTGGACTTTTGTAATAATTAATCTAAGTCATAATCAAAGTGATTAAGGGCTTGTGGCTTTGTGAGAAGCCTAAAGACATGAAACGTAAAGGAAAGTCGTTGTCTTTATGTCTTATGCTTGTTGTGTGTGAATATTGATATGATTGCTGGTCCAAAACAGATTGTGATTCTGCTGTGTTCGAGCTTTGAGCTTGTGTGGACTCTTAGCTTGGATAGCTAGCTTGCAAAGTAAGCTTTCGTGTCCTCGGCTTAGCCATTGTTTGTTCCACCATGTCCCATATAATGACCCTAACTTGTAAATCTTAATTTGAGGTTTAACTTAAGGATTTAAATGCCATAATTAGATTCAGAGCTTGATTTCGAGTATTTTGATTGTAATCATGACTAGGTTATGAACAGTGCGTTCTGCTGGATAATTTGCAGTTTTGGGAATTAACCGGTAGAGCTTAAATGAGCTAAATGATTTTAGAAACATAATTTGATGATTCTGATGCCAAATATGAGTTCAGAACGAAAAAGTGTATAGCCTGGCACTTTCCGTGAAAATCTCATGAATAGTGTTTTCTACCGGGTATTTTGTACTGCTGTTTAAGCAATCGATAGAGTCCAGGAAATAAATAATTGATGAAATAAGAATAAGTAAGTCCAATATATGTCATACAAGTCAAAATAGGCCGAAAAATGATAAGTTTATAAGTTGTAAGTTTCGTAAGCTTTGTGTTTAAGGAGTCTTTTCATGCTCGAGTGCTCCACCATAGTTAGTGAACTGTGGTTGGATTGGTATGATTGTTTTTTATGCTTTGTATAGATGCATTCATATAGAGTTATTTGATAACATGATATGACTTTTTCTGATATGATTTCTGTATTGATTGTATGGTACACTGATGTCTTCTTGGGGTTTCCCTGAGATTGACGATGTACGCCTCTAACATGTTCTGGTTCCGCTTGGGGTCCTCCCTTGGGAACACGTGCGTTAATTTCCACTTGGGGTCCTCCCTTGGGAATGACGGCGCACACCTCTGATATGATATGGATATATGCTTTGTTCTGTTATGATATCTGTATATGTGCATTTGTATACTCTGTAGGCGTTTTGACGGACCAGATTTTGAGTAGTTGTAGGCTACTACTATTTTGCAGTGTATTTATGTTATTCAGTATTTTGTGGATCATGATGTTGAATCCTTCATTTTGTATATGGCCTGTATATGTTTTGTACATGTCTGTCAGTTTTGATGCATGTACATTTGGGTATTCAGGCACGTTATATGATTATGCAGTATTCAGTTTATGTTTACATATTGGATTGCATGCTGTTAGATTTAGTGGCACGGAGCCAAGTTATGCATGCGCCCATGGATGGGTATATGATTATATTTGGATGTCTGGTACTTCTGAATTTATATGCTGTATAAACTGTCTATCAGGAACTCTTGAGAGTAGAATTCAAAAATCCCCAGTTTTCCGATTTACAGAGGTTACTCTGCCTGATTTTCGTCTTCGCCAAATAAGAATTAATCTAGAAAAAAAAAAAATTAGCTCGCATTTTCGTAAGTTAAGTCTTTCGCTATTTCTGTTTGTATCATATGCATGTTAATTGAACCGGCTCGAGACGGGGATGTTACATCCCATGGGTGGATGGTTATATGCATGATGTGTTTTCATGTACTGTTTTATTGAAATGCTATTGAGCTGTTAAGTGCAATTTCCTTATGATATGTATGTGGTGTTTCGCCTAGACAAGACGCCATGGGGTGGTCCTATGGGCGGATACAACATGGGCGTGTACTGTGAGGGTAATAGACGTATTATTGCACTTCTTTGATCAGTAGAATAGCTATAACACACATGACATGATTATCTGCTGCATTGCACTGATTTTGAAACTTATATTGTTAAACTGCTTTTGAACTTATATTGCACATGTAAGTGAGCTTGGGGTGGAAGATCCTTGAGGACCCCTTGCTTTACTGAGATTTCTGTTTAGAGATCTCACCCCACGTTTGGGGCGCTTATTTCAGGTTCAGGTAACCCAGGGATTGAGACCTCTAGCAGCAGGAGGCCGGAGCTTAGCTGATATTGCTGTTTATATGATGATATGTTTGGATGCTGGATTATATCTGCTGATGATATGCTATTAGCTTGTTATTATTATGTTGCTGTTGTTGAGACTATGTTTGACTTTATTGCCTTATTTGGTGAGTATGAGGAATGTCCATACCACATTGATTGACTATGTCTTAGTTTAGATTTGAGTTGTAATAATGTATCAGGATTATGTTCGGGCTACGTGTTGTAGTTCCGTGATTTCAGATACTCACAGTTATTTATATATTGAGGTATTTCAGTTAGCTGTCTAAATGCAATTTACATACAGGCAATGTTTTGAAATGAATTAAGTAATTGAACTTGGCTAATGATAATGACGTCATAATTGAAAAGAAAAAGATATTCCGCATATTTAATTAAGCGTGGCTTAATACGATGACATGTTTAACAAATCGGGTATACACGGGGTGTTACATAAGCAAAACACATGGAATGGTAGAAAAGTTAATAATTAAAAAGGAAAAATATACTTCCAATGAGCTTATCATTCAGAGATGTTCCCGTTTAACTGACAAAAAGTAAAAAAAAAATAAAAATAAATCCCAAATCATATTATTTCAAGAAAAATCAAATCATTCCAACAAATTGGCTAGAATATTTTCTCATCGAATAGAAAGCCATCCCCACAGTCACCAAAATGTATTATCACTTATCAAAAGTCATCTGACAGAAATTACATTAAAGTAAAATATAGAAAAGGTAGAACAGACACAAACCTCTAGAAAAAAAACCCTATATGTGTAAAGAATTGTGTTGTGAAACCATATGTGTAAAGAACTGTGTTGTGAGAGGTTTTTCAAAAGCACGCAATAAATCACATATACTTGATTGAGCTTCCCAGCTTTGATTCAGAAGAAGCACCAAATTTCAGAGAAGCAGACTCACCACCAACTGATGATGAAGCAGTAAATGGCATTGGTGGTACCTTAAAAACATTACCATTGGTGCCAAAGTTCACTAATGGAGCATCAGCACCAGGCTCCTTTGATAAAACAACCTTTTCCATACCAAATATCGAACCTGATTTAGTTATCTCCTTTGATGGAGCTGCAGTAGCTGTTGACTTTGTTGACCAAACCACCTTGTTCCCAACATTAAATAGGGGAGGATTAGTAGTTGACCCATTTGATGAAGCTGGCTTGTTGGAACCAAAACTTGTTTGTATAGCCGCTGTAACTGCAGCTGGCTTAAAGGTTGGATCAGGAATAAATGATGCTTTAGAGGTTGATACATCAACCCTCTCAACAGCCCTAGACCCATCAGCAGTCCCAACACGAGCTTCACCATCTTTTGTAAAACTTTTGGATGGCATCACTACAAATAATGCTGAGGAATTCTCCTGTGCAATGGTTTCCGTACCAGAGGTAATTTTCAAAGCCATGGTAGTGGAGAAGGTTATTTCTTTCTCAACAGGAGAAAAAGAGGAGAAAGCTCCATTAGGATGAGCATCATCATCCACGTCCAAACAATCCTTAAATAAGTAGAAAGATACAAAGAATAGTGAATAAACATGACCTGAGGTTGAACACTATCTTTCATTTGAAAACTCAACTCACATTTTATTCTGTTTGGAATCAAATAAAATATAAATACAACTACCAAATTAAGATCTATTGTCAATTGCTTTACTCGTCATTACTTAGGATGAGCATCATCATCCACATCCAAACAATCCTTAAATAAGTAGAAAGATACAAAGAATAGTGAATAAACATGACCTGAGGTTGACCACTATCTTTCATTTGAAAACTCAACTCACATTTTATTCTGTTTGGAATCAAATAAAATATAAATACAACTACCAAATTAAGATCTATTGTCAATTGCTTTACTCGTCATTACTAGTGAGTAAATGGAAGGAAGCAACTAATAGCTGTAAGCAACAAGCCTACAAGGTGAGGAACACCAGTTATTCCCAGAAAGCTAATGTAAACCAACTAACATAATGCCACATACTAAATATTAAAAAAAAGCCGACATAACTATAAAAAAACAGTCAACTAGATATCATACAAATCATACGTCATGTGCACTCATATGGAATGCCTTATTCCTTTTTGGGGGGTAAGAGACAGATTTTATCATAAAAGAATCCACAGATTTTGCACTAGACAGGACTTGATTCATTGGTTTTGTAGCATCCGTAGCAATTTTGACTGGAACTAATCCATCAGAAGGAGCAACAAGCTTCAATTGACCATTTTCAACCATATTTCTTTGTGAAGTTAACTTCTGATTCTGAGCACTAGCAGACAAATTTCCAAATGTGCCATCTAATTTATCACCTTGTACATTGTCCAGCAATTTTGACGAATCTACCATTTCCATGCTTCGTAGAGCCTGTCCTTGTAACATGGAAGGTGACAACTTTGTTGGTGAGTTATCATTGACAATTGGTAACCTTAATTCGGATGATTTTTCATTAGGAGAAACCAAATTATCAAGTTGGTGAAGTATTTTGGAAGTCATCTCACTCGATTTTGAGGGTAAAGGGGAATAGCTCATACTAGGTATAGTATTGTCCACATTTTCTTCTGACTTTGTATGGCTACGCTTGACTTCATCCAGTACAAGAGGCTTCTGCATGGAAGATGAAGGTTGCTGAGCAGCATAAATATCCACTCCACTTCTAGCAACAGATAGAGAGCTACCAGAAAGAGGTAAGCTTGAGCCTTTAGAATAGAGAAGATTAGACTTGTGACGGATTTGGCGGATAGGACCAAAAGATCCTACACCATTATCCAATGCTGAACTTCTACGCTTTAATGTCTGCAAAAAAGAGAAAAGAAAAACACAAAATCTAGTAACATATCTAAAATATACATTGAAAAGACACGACTTATAACTAGCAAGTACTTGTACCCCTTTATTAGGTCCAGAAAGCATGTCATGATCCAATGCAGACCGAGTTGAAGATGACAGCTCACCTTCAACAGCAAGCCCCCCACCCTATAAAATTAGAGAAACCACATAAAAATTTTGATCCTAGAAACATTGTGATCCAAAATGTTATTCAGGAAAAGGCAAACCTTGAGTGTGGAGGCTGGGAATATTCTGGCATATGGTGTTCGACCCATAATATATATTGCAGATCTGTCACGAGATCTTGCGGTCACAAAACTATTTTCATGAACCGCAGCATGTCTAGTAGCCTTTGGCACAATTGACATAATAGGGGATTTAGGAGGAAAGTTTTCGCATTTTAGAAGAGTTGGATCCTCCCTTAGTACATGATTTTGCACACCTAACATTGATGAGGAAACCTTGGAAGGTCTGCTCCCCATGTAAGCCTTTGCAAGCTCTACAGGGGAAGCAACATCCTCGATGGGAACCTGTGGACATTACAAAGCAATTCATGTGGGACGGAGCACAATAGAGAAATCAATAATTTCCAATCCACAAGATACAACCAAAAATATATGTAAAAGATAACTATGAAGGTAAGTTCTCATACACTTGAAGTAACATGTGGGGTGACAACGAGACGATTTTCAATCCCGTTTTCTAGCGCAGGTGTTTTCGGATATTCTTCCATTTGTTCGCAAGGCAACATTGGTTCTGAGGGATCCATTTCTTTCTTCTTCTCTTCTTCCCTGACTGGTGCATCCACAGTTCTTGAACGCATAAGTGCTGTCAAATGATCAATCTCAGATCTGTGGATAATAGACAATGATCATGTAAAGAATCAACAAAATATTTATGCCAAGAGGCAAATTATTATCAAAGAACTCAGACTGGCAAACTAGATATGGACAATAGGAAGAAGTAAAATCAGGTTCGTTGCAATTTGAATATCATAAACTTAACAAATTAACTATTGATGTGCAAATCACAAAACAACTACAAATAGATTGAATGATTAGAAAATTACATTCAGCTACTAAATTTGAGAAAGAAGCAAAATGAGATGCATATTAACAAGAACTCCAAAAACTATAATAATCGTAAGGAAGCGTAAATCAACACAAAGCAACCAAAAATATATGAGAACAAAAATTTGAAAAACAAATCAATAAAGACTGCTTAAACTTTGAGCCTTTTCTAAAGGAAAATTATTCAAATGCTCAGCAAATATATATTCGACAACTAAATAACAAAAGCAATAATTCATCGTGCACATGATACAAAACGTGCCTGGAGAAAGTCTTCTGCTTTAATAGTTTCTCAAGCTCGGTTATTCCACCTTCATTAGAGCAATTAATTTGAACATCACCTTCACCAACTGCTCCTTGTTGCTTGCCACAGGAATTGTCAATCTGTTTCTCATTCAACAAATGACAAAACAAAATGATGATGACAAAAATAAAATTGTTTCCCCAATCAAAAGTGAACATTGCAACTACAATGCTCCATAACCAATAGAAATGAAAAAAATATTATACAGCATTTTCAAGATCTTTGAATTCCACTAAGCAACATTTTTTCAAGAACCCGTATCCATATATAAAAACTTAGTATATGTTCCTTAGTATATGACAATTAAATTCAAAATGGAATACCAATGATGTTCATCATGAAGATGCAATTTCAAAGCACAAACACTAATTTCAATCAGCAGATTCTCACCTCTGCCATTTCAAATATATAAAAGTTGAATTCACTTAATCTCTTAACCAGAGTACAACAATAAAATCAGATATTGTTACCGACACACAAACATAGAGAAATCATACAAAAGAAAGAAAGAGAATGAATCTTTATTGATGATTGAATATCAATCAAAAAAGGAGAGAAATCTCCTCAAGGTTTTCCCCTTACAACTGAGCTACTGCTTTGTTTTCTCAATGCTAACATCTCTCCTCCACTACCTTCTAACCCTATTCCGATTTAAGCTAAACCCCTGTCCTTCCAAATTCTCTAAGTAACTACCTAAGTGATCTAACTAAATATTGAAACCCTATTGTAACTTCCCGTACCTAGATGTTGATATTTGGGAATCTCTAACAGATACACTACAAAGTACAAAATCATTCAACACACTAGAATTGTAACATCCCAAGGGCTGACTAGGGCTGGGAATGATCGCCAGTACAAAAGAGATGAGGCACGGACAAGGAGCAGCTCATGGCAGGCCTCCAGCTAGGGGAGATCATGAATGAATCGAATCAACACCCGAACGAGAGGGATCCAGAGGCTGTGCAGGTATGGGACTATACAGTTGAGATGGCTTAAAGGATTTAATATGTACTACCAATACTAACAAGATGCATTTACTTTTTGCTAGCCTATAACTTAAGAACTTCATAGTTAAGCATGCTTGACTTGGAGCAATTCTAGGATAGGTGACCTCCTGGGAAGTTTGTTAGAAAATGTGTGAGTGAGAACAATGCACGTTGAAAAGTCTCATGTTGGTTTGTGGGGACAGTCATAGATCCTGCAAGTAACCGGGCGTTACAAGAATACTACCTATGTAGCACAACTAAGACAAGTCAAGAAAAATTAACTCCTTATGATGAAAGGTGTGTTTTACTTGAATGTTGACAAGCTATTCGATGAAATGAAGATATTCGACGAAAAGTAGAAGTAGTACAAGTAACTAAAAAGATAAGGGAACATAGATTGAGGTGGTTTGGGCCCGTAATGAGACGGCCCCCTGGATGCTTCTATAAGAACAAAAGTTTGTTACCAAGAGCTCGACACAAAGAGAGCTAGAGGTAGACCGAAACTTACATGGAAAAACGTCGTTCCAACTCGTAGAAACGTCCGTTTCTACATTTTTTTTTTCAAAATCGTGTTAACACGGTGGTTGAAACGGATTTTGAGTTGAAACGAGGTCTCCTTCTCCGTGGACCGAACATAAACAAGAAAAAGGTAGTTAGATGGAGTGGGATATAGATTGACGGACGGTGTGTCTTATGACGGAATGGAGAAAAGCTATATGCAGGGTTATAGGTTAAACTCATTGTTATTCCTATGTGATCCTTTTTAGTTCTTTTCCTCTTTAATCCCCCCTCTCATTCTTTTCCCTTACTTGTCTTTTATCTTATTCCCCTTCCCCAAAATTTTATTTTTATTTTTGTATTTATTTATTTATTTATTTATTTTTTATTTTTATATTATTTATTTTTATCTTATTTATTTTTATCTTATTTTAATTTTTATTTATTTATTTATTTTATAATTTTTTATTATTTTTTATCTTATTTTATTATTTATTTATTTATTTTATTTTATTTTTTAGTCTCCTCTTATTTATTATTGAGTTCAACTACCACCATCCTCAATTAATTTGGATTAAAGGTGCTGCTGATGTTGATATTGATGTTGTTGACAAGCATCTTACTTAACCACCACGTGATTCGATCCAGGCTTGAACAAATTGTTTTCACAAGTTCTAGCCTATAAATGACGTCTATTGACCTCAAGCACATGCTTCTAACCCTCTGTCCAAGGTAGAACTACGGTCAACCACAATTTGGAGAACATCCCACAAGAACCCTTAAAGAGGGCCCTAGTAGATCGGTCATCCTAACTAAGCTCACTTTGGAATGCAATATAAACAAGCTAAGAGAGGCATATTCTGACACTTAAAATCCTTAACTCCAACAATAATTCAACAGATACAGAGGTAAGAATAGTAAAAAACTAAAATATTAGAGGCAAAAATATCAATTTGACTTCTTAAAGCAAAAACATAGAGTAAAGTATATTTGATGTAATATTAAAAAATTGTTGTCAAACTAAGAATAGCCTAAAAATATTTTTGTCACCAGGAAAAAATATAAAAATGTAACACAATTTATCATAAAATCAAACGCATGGACATTACACCCCAAAAATGAATTCTTAATCAAGAGGTGTAAATGGTGTTATAATTTATAACAAACAGAGAGTATGCATACTTACAAAGGTAGCTTCTTCATGATGATTGAGCCTAGCTTCCTGTTCCCGTTCTGTACCAAAAAATAAAAAGCAAATAATGATAATAATATATCCATACAATGTATGTTAATAAAGAAATCATGGAATCAAGCGATTAAATTTCATATCAGTGAAGAACAACAGATAACATTAAAAAGACAAAAAAAAGAAGGGAAATCATAGAAAAGTTACAACCAAAAAGTCAACTGCTGTAACCAGGAGCACAAACAGAAAATAGGGAGAAAAAAAATAGGTACATAATTTAACATGCTTAAGCCTACGGCGAACTATAGGCGCCTACCTCCACAGGTAAAACGTAAAAATTACTATGGTCAATAAAGATTACAAGGAGTAGCCATTCTGAAGTTGAACCCTAATCCCAATACATCCGAACGCTCATTGTGACTGACATTTCAATGCACTACAACCTACAAGCCCAGTCCTTCTGCTTCCACCACAGATCCCCTTGAAAAAAAAAATCCTTTGTGATACGAAACTTGGGAGAGCCTCACCCCAAAAGCTAGCTTATAAGGTAGGAGAGCTCAAAGTCCATATAAACCTCACACCAAAACCTTATGTTTCCGATATGGGACTTCAAGTCCCGTACCTTGCAATTGGATCGTAACACTTTGTTTAAGGAACCCACAAAAAAATGTAAATGAAAAAATGAAAAAAAATTAGATAAATTGTAAATGAAAAAATGCAATTGGATCGTAACACTTCATTTACACTTTGTAGGACACAATGTAAATGAAAAAAAATTCTTGACCTTTGACCCCATTTTTCATTTACATTGTGGCCTACACTCAGTTTAGAAATTAGATATGCATGCTAAAAACCTTATTGTTGAGGAAAATTATTATTTCAGCATACAAATTATCTCATGTTTAACGTGTTCTTAAGGATATCGTTTACAAATTACTAATTTACTATCAATCAAATGGGAGGCAATCAAGTCTAATCCATTTTGGTTTTGCAACAGATGCAGATCAACACTTAGTTCAACCTTAAGCCAACTAACTCTGTCAAATAAATATGGTCTTTATACAAGGGCATGAGCTGACAGAAGAGTTTAACAGAAAAATTTAGTGCTCTTCAGTGATGCAGCTAAGTTTAACAGAAGAGTTATGATTGGAGATACGGGTTTTCTCAATAAGTCAGCATTTCCTAATTCCTCTAAAGAAGAAAGATAAGATAACAAGAACAAGAGTGTTTTCCCTCCCTTTCACAATATACTTTCAAGCAAATCAATGCATCAAGCTCAAATTAATAATGCATTTTACAACCTAACAACACACCAAAAGACTTCTTATCTACAAATTAGTGCAGTGAAATATTTTACTAATTTCTTCGTTGTCTATCTACTAATATTATACAAAATAATACCTTTATGGTGCGAGATTAGTGGGACTTTATTAATACTCCCTAGAAAGACCAACCGGACAGCTATTTCTAACCTATCAGCATGTAAAGAATAATTGTATGTGAAATACAAGACTTCTTAAAGCAAGGAATAGTAACAGACAATTAATATCAGGGGGTCACACAATGAAAGAACAATTTGGGCACAAATTCAAAATGCAAGATGATAACAATAATAATAATAATAATAATAATCTATCTCCGAACTTAACTGTTTTTAAAAAATGACACTTATCCAACTGACGTTAATTAATTAGTATTTTTAAAAAGCTGATAACTGAAACTTGTACCGAATAATTTTCTCATAAAAACCCAACGAATAATGCCACTAACTAGAAACGACTAACCCACCAAACCCAATTTACAAAATCTCAATTAAGGAGGGTAAAAAAAAAAATTAAAAAAACAGAGCTATCAATTAGAAACACAACACAGAACCCTCCTCATATTGAAAAAGATTAACAAAATTATTTAAAACAAAAAGCACACTAACTAACCTGAAGAAGGGGGAGGGGGAGGAAGTCGCTTGCGGAAAAGAGAGGAGAAGAGAGAGTGAGCGCTATAAGTGATGAGCCTGTGGGCAGGATCAACCAGCTTCGACAACCAACCATCGTTCCTATTAGGGTTTCTGAGGGATGTCGGCGGACGATCATACGTCGTCGTTTGATTCCTGCGGAAGGGGCGTTTCCGGAACTTTCCTCCGGTTCCCAACCCTGCTGCTGTTGCATACTGCTGCTTCTCTTTTTCTTCCGTCGCCATTTGATTATTCAATCACACTCCCAGAAGAAACAGCCACTCTTGATCAAAATAACAATAAAAAAGTGCAGACAGTGCAAATTAGGGTCTTATTTGATTATTTACGTTAAGTGAGTAATATAATACAATATTTATAAACACTATAATTACTCATGAATCATTATAGGAAAATATTTTATATTAAAATTGATTGTCATTATGATTTTTTTTACAAGACAAATCAAATGTTACTCAATATACAAGCATGATTTTTCCATATGATGATTTCCGATATCAATATATAATAATGTTTAATTACAAGGATGGAAGGATATTATAAAAATGAGATAAGATATTTAAAATAATAATTTAGCTGATAAAAAATATTTTTATTTTCAAAAGATCGTAAATGTAAAAAATCAAGTACACTGAGGGGGTGTATTGGATTGGGTTTTCAAATGATTTTAATGAATTATTTTTGGACAAAAAAATCCGTTTGTTTTCGATTAGGATTTTAAAGGATTATTTTAGAATCCGTCCAAATTCGTTGGTATTCAATCAGGATTTTAAACAATGGAATCACAATCTCGTGGTATTCAAAAATCCGACGATTTTAATGGATTTTCTATTGGTGTGGATTTCATGGGATTTTTTAGTGAAAAATATAAATAGGATGCTTCTCTCACAATCTCACCCTAACCGCTAGGATTTCTTGAGATTCTTCTATTTCAGTGTTTTCTTCTTCCTTTGACAGGTTGACTGCTTGAAATTAGGTTTCGCCATGGGAGCTTTATTAAAACTAAAAAAAGCATATTTTTGAGCGATTTTCATAACAAAACAACTCAGAAACAATAAACCATCGAGATTTTAATATAATCTATTTCAAAAATAACATATTTTTGAGCCATTTTCAAGAAATTTTGGAAGTTTAAAAAGTGATTTTTCAAGCAATGGGTCGTGGTTTTTCTTGGCAAAAGTGTGATTTTTGTATTAAAAATAACATAAAAAGGAGAAAAAATAACAGGGAATCCTCAAATCAATTTTTGTTTTACATCAATGAAACAATATAAATTTAAAGAAAGATTGAAACTTTCATAATATGAACCCTATATTTCGTAACAATACATTCATGAAGGAAATTCCTTCACCAAAGGAAACGATTTCAAACAAATTTTGTGTCAATAGATAACTAAAAACTTGTTTCTCAAAAGTCCCAAAGCAATTTAAGGTTTCAATGTATCGACTGAAAAAAATTTGAGAAATTTTCTAAACTTTCATGTAATTAAACCTAAAATTTCAGATTCAAAATTTTCTTAGAATATTCAATGAAAATATGCATATGATATATGGTTAGAAAACTCTCATCTCGTAAAATAAAAACCCCATGGTTTTCAAGATCAATTGCAAAACTTCCAAACGAAATTTTATCATGAACTTTAGGTTCTATATGTAAATTTAGAATTATTTTTATAATTAAATTGACTACCAAGTTGTGTTACTACCAATCAATCTCACCGTTTGATCGATTATGTAGATCCAACGGTTATATTTATTTTCACCTTTGTATGGTTACGATTTCCCATATTTAAAGTGAAAGCATTAAATATGGAAAATCGTGACCATACAAAGATGGAAATAAATATAACCGTTGGATCAATATAATCGATCTAACTGTAAGATTGATTGGTAGTCACTTGGTAGTAACACAACTTGGTTGTCACAATATCCTTCCCCTTAAAAAAATTGGGTCTTATAATCATATATGCATAACTTTGATATCAAATAAAGAAGATAATTTTCAACCCATTAGATATGTGAAAAGCTGTTGTTTAGTAATTTTGAATGTTTGTTAAAAATTATATTATGTTTTACTCATAGAGAAAATTATATTAGGTTTTACTTTTTTTATTAATTTCATTACATTTCTTTGTTATTTTTTTATGGGGAATATTATACTTACAACCTATTTTTGTTTACAACCTTTTACAACTATATTTTAACCGTTAATTTTCATCAATCAATGGTTATTATTTTCGCAAATCAAACTCAAACTCATTGAGAACATTATATTAGATTATATTAGTATTTTTTTATATAATTTTTAACTCGTTGTTAAGTTTACTTTTTTTTATTCATATCATTGCATTTCTTTGTTATTTGTTTTTATTGACTCTTGTAATTTTTTGAATATTTGTTAAAAATTCATATAGTTTTTTAAAATCTTATAAATCTATATTGTCCTTTCAAATCTTATAAATTCTATTAAAATCCTTTAAAATTCAATCCTATGAAATCTTGATTGTAAAAAAAGTCTTTTAAAAAAGTCTATAAAGTCTCTCCAATTCTAAAATGTCTTTTAAAATCTGTAGGATTTTTTATCTCAAAAAAATCTTTTAAAATCCTAATCCAATACACCCCCTAATTCTTCCCAAGAATTCAAAATTATCGCCACCAAAAAAATCAAAATCATAACAGTATGGAGAATAGATTTTATTAGAAAATCATCCCAACAATTATCTATGATATAACTTATCCAACTTAAATAATATCAAATATTTCAAACAAACAGATACAAAATTAAAATAAAAACCAGTCATGAAAAACAAGTATAATTGACGACAGACAGATTTGGCAATTTTAAAAACGTAAAAATTAAAAATAAATAAATTAAAAATATTTATCATGTTAATTTTTATTTAATTTTAATAAAATTAACTTAAAGTTATTATAAAACTAATAATAATAGTTGTTTATTTATAATTTTAATAGTTAGATATTAATTATAGTGAAATCATAAAAGTGGAAGGGAAAAATTTGGGCCACTCTTGTAAGAGCCTCAGTCTCACTACCCCCAGCGGATGTGGCAGTTACTTACTCCCCTAGTTCCATTAATATAGATGAGTAATTAATTTTTAAATTAATATAACTTAAATTTTTATTTACTTTTAATATATTACAGTAAAAAAATCATATTATTTTCTCACCTTTTACAACAAAAAAAGAGTAAAACAACCATGTATTTTTTTCTTTGGTTTATTATGGATATACATCTTTTAAGTAAAAAAATATAAAAGATTAAATTTAGTGTTATTTTGAGTTTTGTTATTCGATGTAATGTATTACCCTTCTTTAAAAATAATTTTTGAATAATTACTCTTTTTTTTTTTTGGTAAGCTGAATAATTACTTTTGAATATAATATAATTATGCTCATGACAAACAGTTTAATTAGTCCATTAGCATCATTATAAGATTTGATGTGCTTACATAATTGTGTAAACCCTACAAACTATTACTCCTTTATAGTATTGAAATACAAGATTGTTCCAATTGTATATTATTATGATTTTCGTTAAATCATTTATATTATCCAAAGTGTTCCTAACAATTGCTACAATAATTCTTGATAACATAGACTATTAAAATATAGTTTACAGTTATTATCTAGGGGAATATATCTATCCAACAACGGGAGAGACATTTTGTCTCTTATATAGACACTGAAAAATGTATCATGTGTTTTTTTAAATAAAAAATAGTGAATCGCACATAAAAATATTAGTGCAGAAGACAAAATATCTATTCAGTTACTGAAGACATATTGCCCTATTAACTATGAATCTAGATCTTCTCATGTGAAAATTCACATGACCATATCATGTGAGAAATTATAACTATACAAAGATGGATCAATGATTATAAAGGAGAAGAAAGAAAAATGTTAAAATAGATAATTACGAAATCATAACCGTTGATTTACCTTTGTGGTTGTGATCTTCCCACATGATCATATCATATTTTTTTTACACGTGAGAAGATCCATTTCCATTATCTATATAGTTTTACAGCAATTACATTGGTAGTTTACAGTTATCCTTTTTGGTTTACATATATGGACCAAGAGAAACGGAATTAAACCCTATGTTCATCGCTTTTACAACAATGCCCACGTGTAATGTAAATGAACCCACTTAAACACGCGAAAACTATATTTTTATTTCATTAGTCATATTTTTACAGAGATTTTGAAAAACCATGCAAATTCCACCCTCAATGGCTCCTTTTTTAAAAAAGT